CTATCTGCCATAATGGCACAGTCCACAGTAAGGGGGAAGGGCAGTGTGTCTCCCTGCTGCACGAGGGAGCCGTCAGCAACTGCACCCTGTTGGAGGACATCAGCCTTACAGACAGAGTGCAGTGCTACGAAGCTCAGAGAGGGAATGTAGAAAGCCACCTGTGAAAAGCACTGGGAACAAGAACTGAATGAAGAAATTTGATTCTGACATACTGTTCCAGGTGGCTGCAAAGAGTTGTGGTCATCTGTCATAACAGTCTTCACTCACAGATGAGTGTTTCTAGGAGACTGAGCATTCAGCCCACAATGGAGAACAATGCAACAGATATCCACACTGAGATGCCCAATGTGCTGTGAGCCTCATGAAAAGATTTCTGTAAGCGTTAGTCAGACAGTGTAAGATGTTGAACAATGAGACAACACCATCTCGAGGCAGATAAGCCGTGTAAAATAACAAAAAACCTAAAACCTCAAATAACAAAAACAGAAACAAAACAACAACAACAACAAAAGTCACAGGGTCCTTGCTTGACTTTCTGCTTTAATTTGTGTTGTGTATCAAATGTGTGCTTTGTGGTACTGGAGGTTAAAACAAACTGGACATCGAACTGTACACACACACACGCAGACTAAACAAGTGACACAACACAAGATGGTAGGAAACAGAGGATTTTTCTTCTTTGCTTTGCTCTGATATGTCCAGTCTATACTGACTTTGATGGAAATGTACAGAAAAGGAGAAACTTTCTGTTCACTGTACCTCATATAGTAAGGTGAACACAGTGTTACTCAAGTGGCCCCATACGGGCCCATGGGAAGTTGGCAGCTGCTCTCACCAGGTCGTTCCTGGCTCACATATAGACCTTAAAAGAGGTCAAGAGATTGTATAGAGATTGTATATTATAAATAAGCTAATATGATCATCACTTTGCTTGTTTAGGTGTTTCACAATAAAAAAAAAAAATTGTTAGATGGGTCTAAACCTTGAACACTGCTGAATGCTAATATTGTAACTGTAAATGTGCCAGGTGTGTTTTTAAAGGGAATAGTTGCAATTTTGTGCCATTAAATGTATTTTCTTCTCTCTATGCCATCAAGATGTTGTCAGACTCCTGCCTTGTGGTAGTATATGAACTTCTGCATAGTAGCCCACTCAATTCTTGAGATGAAAGCCGCTAGGTGCAACTGTGGAGTCAAATTAAGGATAAAAATACACATGCATAAAGCATCAACTAAACACTGTGACTCAAAGTAACACCACCTCCAACACAACGGTGTTTTCACAATGTCAAATACAGGCTCTCATGTATGAAGACTGGAGTTAAGTCATAGGTTTAGTGACTCATCCCACTGAGGAGTGATTCATACACTGGGGACTACAGTGCCATCACATTATTATCTCCACTGTGCAAATGGAAAAATGTCAGATGGGCGGTGCTCATATCTGCATGCGCCCAGGATCTCTTTTAGAGCATGACAGCGATGTGTTTGTCATTCAGATAAGAGCTCTGTGCATTTATAGTACTTCAGGCAGGCCCTGGTTTGAGTGGGTTAAAACAATTGCAGGCTGAGGCTATTTTTCATCAGCATCTGCTCAGGATTTTAATATACATATAGAATTGATGCACAGACTGGTGCTGCTGTTGCTCAGAGGTAAATCTGCAGTGACATTATCTTTTTGTCGACCAGGAGAAATATTTGGATACTGACCGATGTGACCGATAACAGAGGAGTGCTTGTACAGTATGTGTTTAGTATTCAGCCTTATTTTGTGCGTGCTACCGTGGACACTTTGAGCAAAGCTTTGAGCATCCTAGTGACACAAGAAACTAAATTAGCAGTGGTACACTTGCTTCTGAATATATTGCAATTTTGTTTGTTTTGTTTTCTTAAAGGGAAGCCTCCGGGAAAGCATTAACTAATCTTCAAATTGCAAAATATTTTGCCAGAATTAATTCTGTATGACTTACACATTTTTAATTTATAATAGTACTGTGTGTATGTATGTGTTTATACAGGTGATTTATTGATTGCTGTCAATATATTTCACACACACCTGTGTATGTGTGTGTATGAATATGTGCAGTTTCAGGATTCCAGATTTGTGGATGTCTTACAGCAAGATGAATCACTGGCTGCAGCTATAGGCTCGATAGTGAACCAGGGCCACTGGGTTCACACAGAGCACAGAGGTCAGAGGTCATAATGATTCACTCACAGTGTTGCACCACAGGACATTCCTAGAAATAGGTCTGTATAAGAATGAGACAACCCTTTGTTTGATTATGGAAGCTACTAGCATGGTGGTTCCTAATGTGTGACTGTGTAGCTCAGAGGTAAATTAGTGTGTATTTCAGCCAGGTGGTGGTGTTGAGAGGGTCATGAAATTCCAAGATGAGGCTATTTTTTCAGTATCTGCTGAGGACTGTAGTGTAGACAGAACTGATGTGAGAGCATGAAGCACACATGGGTGCAGCTGTTGCTCATGGGCGACTTTGTAATGCTTTGTAATGCTTTTTCCCCTGAGTCGAAGAAATAGTCAGGTACTGACAGAAACAGGAGAATGTTATGCACCTCAAGTGAAATAGGACTGAAAACAATACGTTTATTGCTAATTTTAGTTCAAATTAATACATGCATTTTACACTATGACTATTATCATGTACGTTTTTGAAGCCAGCAGCTTGGGTCACTCCCTTTTCTGGACCAAAGTGGTTCTCTTTGAATGTATTGTTTAAAGGGCCCAATTAGTGCGTTCCTTTGTTTTTGCAGTATATTAGGTGTGAGGAACAAATCAGTACAAACTGTTCAGATGTATACAGTTTATCATATATTGTGTCTGATTATCAAACTGTCAAAGTGGTGGGACAATAAATTACAGTGTATGTGAAAGACAGTCTTAACTTGCTGTGTCTTTTGTTGGTGAACAATTAATATTAAAATAAAAAAGAGGAAGTATGTTGAAATTGGCTTTCATGGCTTGTTTTGTGATGATGTAGCTGCAGTAGCTAGCTATCTGGTCTTATTATTATCTTTGAGGTGCCAGTATGCTTCATCAGAGTTGCTTGTTAGATGATTGAAAAGCTTTGGAAGCCCCCTTCGTATCCTCTGTGATTGGCCAGCTAGGTGAGAAAGGAGCCAGGGTTTGAGCATCTCTCTCTAGCACAACTTTTTTTTTTTTTCATTTTTACACAGCTATTTCTGTCGCTTTTCATGTCAACAGTTGAGTAGAACATCATGAACGCCTTCCTGGAAACACTTGCTAAAAATGTGCACTGTTTGCTTTAACAATCCCGCTCTCTATAACAGCTGGTTTCAAGTGTGGCCAAACACTTTTACCTTCTGACAAGGTCAGACGCCACCTTCTTGTTCAACATAACAAAGCCTATCTAGTGATGACTGTTAGCAGACTAAAGGAAGAGACATGGTCTGGATGGTGAAGTAGTTTCCCAGAAACTGATAAAATGAAATTAGCCCAGCTCCCTAAGATTGTGTAGTTGTTTTTGCCATATTCAGAATCAGAATTGTCTTCAATCGTATGTTTGAACATAAGGCAATGAGGCTCTCAATGTGTTGTAAGGCAACAAGAATAGAAAGTAACAAAGAGAATAAAAATAAAAAGTACAGCAATAAAAATGAAAATAAGAATAAACATATTCACACTGCAAACAATTATAGAGGCCACAGTGCTGGTTCAGGCAGCAACATGAAGTCGGTATCACCACACAGATCAGATAAACATCAGCTGATCTTCCTGAGAACTACACAAAAAAGTTTTTTTTTTGTTTGTTTGTTTGATTTGCATCAGTACAGGGAGGGGGTACTGTTCCAGCCTAACCCCCAGGCACAATACTAGGCTGTAAGGCCTTTTGTGTACATCACAGTATCACAGAAAAGCAATTCAGTGCCATTTTTGGGACTGCAAGTCACATCTGTCCCCAAAGCCCTTTCCCACACATAAACATCAAAGAAGAGGTTGTAAAAGGATGGAAACATTTCCAAATGACCGTATAATCACAATTTGAGTCATTAGGTCTAATGGAAAATAAAATGTTTCAAAGATCAGTAGTTTCATGCGTGAGAGAGGCCAGATGCACATGTTCTGTGGGTCCAGAAATGCAAAACCTGAGGAATCCTGAAAAACGTTTTTAGTTTTGTATTTTGGAAACTATTAAGTGTGACTGACTGGACAGGTAGGCCGTCCCTGGTAGGCTTGTGGTTAAGGCGCAGCGCTCTCGCTGCTGTTGCCCAGGTTCGGATCAGGGTTGTATCAGGAAGGGCATCCGGTGTACAGCACGTGCCATATGTCAACATGCAAGTCATCAGTGTGACAATTTGCTGTGGCGACCCCTAAATGGGAAAAGCCAAAAGTGACTTTCTACTAAGTGTGATTTACATAAACTGCTCTTTGCTAACTGTTTAGTTACTGATCACTGAAAACTCTAAGAAGTCATCAACTGCAAACCTCTTTATAAAGGATATAAATCCTCTTATTAGGCAGCCCTCATTTATCACATCACAGCAAGTGAGCGATCACCAGCGCTACCAGTCTCAGGAGCAGGCCTTACAAACAAAAATAACCAACAATCTGAGAAACTAGCCTTTTGTTATTGACAAATGTATCATTTCTAAGGTTATACTGTACATTACAGCATTAACTTAACCTTTTGACATGTAAACAGTAAGAACACTGTAGATTTAAACTAAAGTTCCAACCAAAACCATTTTATATTGTGATGTTTTCAAAGTTGAGACACTGGAAACTTTGAAACTTGTCAGGTAGATGTGCTCACAAGTGCTTGTCACATCATTTTTGTCTCAGCCTATGAAATGGCACACGGCTGATATCAAAGAGTACCTGATATTACTGCCTCTGTGCTGCAGAAGTAGAAGAGAGGAGTGGAGGCAAGTGGTGAGCTAAGGGATACCAGATTCCTCAGTTTGGTTAATGCATGAGCGTCATCAATGAGGCTGTTAGAGCTCATTAGCCGAGTTTGAGAGGTTGTGTTACCACCTCTCTCAAGCAGAAGAGAGTCCCCTGGGTACACGCGCTGTGGGTCAAAGCAACTCAATTTACCAGAGCTACTACATCCCCTTGTAATATGAAGAAGACCCTCTCAGCTTACACACACAACCTCATCTGAGATTCCCCTCATGACAGCCTAATAGTCTGACAGCACCCTTACATGGTCTCTTCACAAGCATGCCAAATCAAATCAATTCACTGTGCAATCAGATTATAGATTATTATAAGTAGAATAAATCCAATATCGCAGACAATGTGGTGGTTAGAGCAACAGCGCTGAGACTGAATGGGGATCTGACAACCAAAACCTGCCCCCAGAGAAAGATTAAAAGAAGACCTTACCATGCATGTAACCAGCAGCTTGCCTCAAAATAACCAAGGGAACAAAAAGCCCCAAGGTCAGACTTTCTAGAAAAGGAATAGTGGGTCATTTAGGAAAACAAAGCACATTTATTTACCGATGACGGATGTCTATATGAGAACTATGAAGCTACAGTCACTTGCTGGTCAGCTTAGCTTAACTAGAGACTAGAGACAAGGGGCCTAGAGTGATATTCACCTTCTCCACTAACTGCACAGAGAACTTCTCCCAGATTCAGTAAGTTGTACGCTGGTGCCTATCTCAAAACCTTCAGTCTCAGTTTACACAGTCATGTCAGTTTAACAGAGAGACAAGTTTTTCTCTCGCTTCCTTATCATTTCCAAAGGACAGGAAAAAACAGACAGCCAGACCTACAATAATTTACTCAGACCAGGATGTAATTGTTATAGCAATAGCATTAAAAAAAAGCCCTGACAAGGATAAAAAGTAATTTTACACATGCTAGAAAAGGCTTCTTCAATTGCTTTCATCCTGCAATTATTTAAATGACACTAATTTGCTTCTGTTATGTTAGAATTCTATGAACAGTCACATACACTGAAGTACATGAAACAGCAGTTGACACATGAGTAATTGGTGGTTTTAGCTACTCATTGATTCTTTTATTCTGATGGACAAGATAAACTGATAACGGTGGTCATAAGACTGTGATTAGAGATTGATCAAACAGATGTCATTGTGTGTTATAATGCAGTGTAATGCTCCTAAATGCTTAATTATCATCACCAAGAAGCACTGTTTGGTAATGTGCTATAGTAATCATACATTTTAATGAGCTTTACATTCCCACAGCTGCAAATTTTCTAACTACCAATTTGATCTGTACCACCCTGGGGAGCTTTGTTTAATACTTTGCTCAGAAAGACAAATCTGCATTGCAGGGTGGAAACACTGATATTCAACAAACACCCCACACTGGCCTTCTGACAAATGCAACAGAACAAATTAGTAATGATAATATTATTCCCCTTATATTATCTCATTGGTTTTCCCTGCATAAGCTTTCCTACCTAGTTAAATGATTGGGAACACACAGCCTCAATGTATTAGATTTCAGTTTAATTCATCTTAGATTTTATTCCACATAATGAATGTGGGTTTTCTGTATAACATTTGGGCAAAGTAATCCATAAAACACAGGAAGAAAAACAAATATGACCTAGGCTTTCATCACATTTCAATAAGCTAGATTTGTGGGTAGTTACTATAATGCATTTAGGGCAAGGAAATTTGCAATTATGGTGTATGGAAAACCTCTCAAATAGCTTGGGAAACCAA